CCACAGTTTGTAGGTAGAGAGAAACTCTATAGAAAATCATTGTCTTTATTTATTCATCTTTTATTTTTTTCATTGTTATTATATGGTGATATCAATCTTGTTCATTAAGATTGATAGAAATTCATCATAGGTTTTGGTAGATTTCTAACATCTGGTATTAAGAGCTCCGATTGAGTGATTCAAGGAAAGAACAATCGAATAAGAAGAAGAAGAAGAAGAAGAAATTTACGATGGTGATCAATCACACTAACGGAAATTTTCCAACAAATCTCTCAAATCTTAAATGTGATAACTATGAGAATTAGTGCAAACAGATGAAGGTTATATTTTGTTTTCAAGGTCTTTAGGATCTTGTGAAACATGGATTAGAATCACTTGATGAAGACGCTTCAGAGGAAGAAGAAGAAGATGCATATAGAGAATCGAAAAAGAAGAACTATAAATCTCTCTTTATAATTCACCAATGTGTCATCCCAGACAATTTAGAAAAGGTTAGTGATGTAGAATCTGCAAAAGAAGCTTAGGAGATTCTCAAGAAATCGTTTAGAGGCGTTGAGAAGGTGAAAGAGGTGAGGTTACAAACTCACGAAAGAACTTATGAATTACTTCAGATGGAAGATAGCGAAACCATATCTGATTTCTTCACTAGGGTTACGAAACTAGTGAATCAAATCAAGAATTATGGAGAGACGTTAACAACAAGAGTTGTTGTTTCGAATATCTTAAGATTTTTGGCTTCGAAATTCGATCATGTGGGTATACTTGGTCAGTTATCGAATTGCCTCAATGAAAGAAGGCAATTGATGTCAAGTGGATATACAAAATGAATCCCAAAGGGGAAGTAACTCGACACAAAGCAAAGCTTGTGGCGAAAGAATTTCTACAGAAATAAAGAATAGACTTCGATGAAGTTTTTGAACCTGTGGCTAGAATCAAAACAATGAGGTTGGTTATTGGTCTCGCAGAAATAAACAATTGGCACATATGTCAGATGGATGTGAAGTGTGAATTCTTGAATGAATCCTTAGACGAAGAGGTTTATGTTAAAAACCAGTTGGGTATGTGAAATATAACAAAGAGAGAAAGGTGTAGAGACTGCATAAAGCCCTGTATGGTTTGGAACAAGCTCTAAGAGCTTGGAATAAAAGATTAATAGTTTTCTAAAGGAGAAGGAATTTGTGAATTGTACAACTTAACATGGAGTATATGTAAGAAGAAGCAATGGTAAATTGCTTATACTATGTATATATGTCGATGACTTGTTAATAATAGGTAGCTACAAGAAGGAGATCGAAGACTTCAAAGGTGATCTCAGCAAGGAATTTAAAATGTCGGATCTGGGTGACATTTTATACTTTCTTGGTATTGGATTCTACAAGAGTAGTAGAGGTTTGATGATGCATCAAAAAAGATATGCAAGAAATATTCTCAAGATATTTGAGATGGAAGAATGCAACTCGACTTTAACACCTGCAGAAACAAGACTGCAACTGTCGAAAGATGCAGAAGAAGATGATATCAACCCAACCCAATACATAATACTTATTGGGTCATTAAGATACCTTTATCATACAAGGTATGGCTTAGCATACATTATAGGTATGGTAAGTAGATTCATGCAGAAGCCAAAGGTATCGCATCTAGCAGCGGTGAAGAGGATACTAAGGTATCTCAAAGAAACTCTCGACTATGGTATTTTATTTCTTGCGGCCGATAAAGGAAAAGAATGCAAGTTAGTAGGATACACTGATTCAAGTTGGTGTAGTGATGCTGAGGATCGAAAATCCATAGCAGGATATGTATTTATGCTAAGTGGTGCACCAGTTGCTCGGAGTTTGATAAAGGAACCATTAGTTGCATTATCATCATACGAAGCAGAATACATAGATATTTCTATTTGTGTATGTCAAGAAACTTGGATGGTGAACTTGGTCAAAGAGATAACAGGGAAAGATCATGGACCAATTATCATGAAGATCGACAACATGCCAACTATCAACCTGACGAAGAATACGATAGCTCACGGTCGAAGCAAGAACATCGAAATGAGGTTCCACTATCTTCGAGAGCAGGTAGCATATGGGAAGATGAACTTGAAACACTACAGAGCTGAGAATCAGATTGCAGACATCATGATGAAGCGTGTGCAGATCGAAGTATTTCGAAGACTAAGAGCTATGATGAATGTAGATAGCTTAGACACAATGAATTAGGTGGTGTGTTGAAAGTAATTTCTTGTGTTGAATCAGTTTGCTCGACAGAAACAAGGAAGTGTCGAAACATGGTGTATCGAAGATACTGCACACAGATTTGATTTTAGATTTAGATATATTTGATTTAGATCTAAAATAGGATAAATTTGATTTAGTTCTAAAATAGGTATTTTGGATTTTTATAGTTTTGGATTTTATGTTAGGGAGCAAGCTAACATAAATCTATAAATAGAGGGAGTAACCATATTTTTTGTAATCTTAAGTCAATCAAGTTGTATTCACAGAACTTGCAGTTGCAAATAAAGAATAAAATTTTCCACAGTTTGTGGCCAGAGAGAAACTCTGCAGAAAAAAAAAAAAAAAAAAAAATATATATATATATATATATATATATATATATATATATATATATATATATATATATATATATATATATATATATATATATATATATATATATATATATATATATATATATATATATATATATATATATTTTTTTTATCTTTTATTTTTTTCATTGTTATTGTGTCATATATCAATCTTGTTTATCAAGATCGTAGAAATTCGTCATAAATTTTAGTGAATTTCCGACCAAAGAAAATTTAACAAAAAAAAAAGAACAATATTACAATTACTAGATTGGTATAAGTGTATTATATCATAAATGTCTTCTCTTAAATGTTGACTCTAATGTGAACTGGACAAGATATCAAAGATATAGTCATCATTTCGGAAAAGAATTGATTAACTTTAATGTGTAGATGCCTTTGTAACTTTAGACTAATTAGTAGAAAGTGCATTATTATATATAGAGAGGGAAAGGTTAGCTTAGAGAAAGATAGAGACAAAGATACCAAAAGCACCAAAATTTAAAATTAACAAATATCCCTAATCTTCAAGAGCTTGAGAGTTATAAAGATAAAGAATATGATGTATGGTTTTCCTCACATCAAGACACCTAAGCAGGTTTTTGAAGAGCATTGTGTAGCTAGGAAAGCCAATACAAAAAAAAAACCACTTAAGAATGACTTGCATGTGAAGTTAAAGAAAAAAAGTAGAGTTGATTCATTCATATGTATGTGGTCCTCCATTTGAGGTAAAATCACTTGAAGATAATAACTATTTTTATTTTTTATTGATGAGTATACATGGTACATATGGATTTATCTGATTGAGGAAAAAATGGATTAAAAAAATATAAGCCAATTGTTAAGAAAAAAGTGGATGTAGCGTCAAGAAATTGAGAACACCTAGTGAAGGTGAATATATTTCCACTAAATTTGACAACCTTCACCGAGGACTGGACCTTCTCAAATGACAGGAGGGTTCAGTAAAATCTTAGCCATTAAAAAATAATAAAATATTTTAAAATTAAAAATTTGATATTGAAATTTCTTTTTTAAGTTTGTAAAAATTTGAATACGAGACTTTGAATATATCATTTAAATATTGAGTTTCTTTACTTGTGCTCGAAGGCACAAGATAATATTTTTAAATTAAAATATTAGCACAAGTTAACATGTTTATATTAAAATATTCTTATTAATAATGTTTATGTCTTATATCTAAACAAATAATAATAATAATAATAATAATAATAATAATAATAATAATAATAATAATAATAATAATAATAATATTAATAATAATAATAATAATAATAATAATAATAATATCTAAACAAATAATAATAATAATAATAATAATAATAATAATAATAATATTAATAATAATAATAATAATAATAATAATAATAATAATAATAATAATAATAATAATAATAATAATAATAATAATAATAATAATAATAATAATAATAATAATAATAATAATAATAATAATAATAATAATAATAATAATAATAATAATAATAATAATAAAACACTCTTTAAGAAAAAGAATTAAGTACTTTTAAATCATGATGAAAAAAAACACTATTTTTAATTTTACCCTTGCCTTTTGTTTTTAATTGAATATAATTGTAATGAAACACCTCATCTAATCATGTTGGAGGAGTTTTTTCTTATGCAAATAGAGAAAGAGTGATGTGAAACAACTTAGAAAAAGTATTGTAATGAACTAGAGAAATAACAATATATGAGTGATGTGAAACAACTTAGAAAGATTATTGTAATGAACTAGAGAAAGAGCAATATATCCTTATTTAACATAGTATGATGGTGTAATGATGGTCATGAAATTTGACCATATCTTAAGATAACTTCACTTTATTTTTCTTATGTAAGCTAAATATGATGTGATGTACCTAAATTTTTATGTGGCAGGGTCACAATCAACTGTTTAAATGTGATCCTTAATACTTAGAAATCATGTTGCACTAAACAATAATTAAAATAAGTCATTGCATAAGCTAATGACTGAATAGAAATAGTTAGAACAAAATGTTTATTACAAAAGATCATGGTTGATGGATGAACTACAAAATGAAATCAAACTCTTGAAGCTCAATTTCTTCCATCAAAGAACATCAATAAATGAAAGAAAGAGAATTTAATTGTAAGGATGAATTTGAAAAGGTACACTAGTTTTCCATGAAAGCAGCAAAGTAAATTTCTTTCACTATTCTTTCTTATGAGAGCAATAGGTTACAAAACCTACATAACAGAAACACAAGTGAAAATGGAAAAGAAAAAAATCAGTTACTTCATTACACAATATTGATACAAAAGATGGATAAACTCACAAGTCACTAATCATCTGAAATTTAAAACAATGAAGTAGTTAATTACCAATATCTAATGCGCAATTTTATTCGAACGACTACTATGAAACCTTCAATAGTTCATGGAATGCTTCTTGTGGTATATCAACGGATCCGACACGTTTCATTCGCTTTTTCCCTTCTTTTTGCTTCTCCAAAAGCTTCCTCTTTCGTGTAATATCACCACCGTAACATTTAGCAAGAACATTTTTTCTCATTGCCGTAATGCTGCAATAAATGTGGAGAATTTCAGCATGGCAAAACTGAAGAGTTATGAGCAAGGCAAGTTAACGACTTATTTAATAATCTCAATTCTGATTCAAGATTGTTACATTCATATCAGAAGCTAAAAGTTTTCCGGCAACCTTTACAAACAGACATATTAGCGCTATATTTTAAACAGAAACTTACGTCTCTCTTGCTATAATTTTTGACCCAATTGCGGCTTGTACGGATATCTCGAACATTTGCCTGTCTATGACTTTCTTCAATTTTTCCACTAATTCGCGTCCAACACGATACGCTTTCGAGTTATGAACAATGGTTGCCATTGCATCAACTGGTTGTCCATTCAATAGAATATCAAGTTTTACAAGATCAGATGCCTGGTAACTGTAATTGCACCCCATTGAGTTATGAACAATGATCACGCTAGCGGTCATTAGGAAAGGGAAAAGGACGGGAGTACTTACTCTGAGTCTTCGTAATCGAATGATGCATAGCCTGATGTTATACTCTTCAATTCATTATAAAAGTCGATAACAATTTCCCTCAAAGGAAGACGATACTTCATGAAAACTCGTTGACTGCAGGAGAAAAATAATGAAGGGATCATTGCTTTTGACCAGAGATCAAGGTTGTCAAATTTGAGAGACCAAGTAAAAGTTGTGAAATATTTTGTAGACTGAACTCATAAAGCTTACCTGTCAATGAACGAGTACTCTAACTGTTCACCCCTACGCTCAGAGACAAGGGTGATAACAGCTCCAACATACCTTAGATCAAGCAAACAATTAATTAAGATGATAAATATCAGCTCTGAAAGAAGTAAATAAATTATGCTTTTTTGTTCGGGGTTGTGCAAGAGCTTACTCACTAGGAATAACTATAGTAGCTATTACTGTGGGTTCCCAACACGCTACCACTCGTTGCTTGGGATTAGACGGTAATGCAGCGGGATTCTGAACTTCTAATTTGCTGAACAAGAAACATAGACTATATTAGTAAACGTTGTCGAACCTAGCCTGATAAAAACAACTTTGTTAATCTACCTTCCATCAGCATACTCATATATATAAGGCACGGTAGGAACGGTTGAGATAATATGGGCTCCATATTCCTGTTCACACAAACATGCCCTTGTCAATGACTCATTGCCTATGAAACACGGATACAGACACGACACTAACACATCAACACCGGTAATAATTAGAAAAAAATGAATATACTAAAGTTACACATTGGATGAGATGTTACCTGTTCAAGCCTTTGATGAAAAACGTCCATATGCAGAAGGCCTAAAAATCCACACCTGATTGAATATAAAAAAGAAACATTAAAAATCCATTCCTTAAGAAAATAATTGTGTTTCAAATTTTGAAAGAACCGAATTAGCATCCCATTCTATAAGAAATTGATACCAGACCTGAACCCTAGACCTAGAGCAGTGCTAGTTTCTTTAGCAACAGAGACACTGGCGTCATTGCATGTAAGCTTCTCTATTGCATGGTTGAGTAGTTCAAAATCAGATCCGTCCGCTGGAAAAAGACCAGAAAAAACCATATGCTTTGCTGCTTTGAAGCCTACAATTTTAAATTATTAAATTATTAAGAATTAAAGAAAATGTTAACAAACCGATTTCCAAAGAAAAGAGGTAAAAGACCCGCTTTACCTGGAAGAGGTTCTAAATCAACAGTGCTTCGTGTATGGTAAATTGTATCTCCAATACGTGCCTCTTTGGTTGACCGCATGCCACTTATAACATAACCGACTTGTCCGGTGAACAAGATTCCGGTAGGAGTAAGTTCAGGATGCATGATGCCGATATCCAAAGCTTCATATGATTTACCAGTGGCCGCCGAAGAAATCTTATCCCCCTTGCGCAGGGCACCATCAACGACAGCAACATGGCATATCACGCCTCTGTATTCATCAAAATACGAATCAAGTAAAAGCATACGTAAAGAAGAATCACTCTTCCCAGGAGGCGGGGGGATACGCTCTATGACTGCTGGAAGAACATGTTCAAGACCCACCCCAGTTTTAGCCGATGTTAGCAATGCGTCACTTGGGTCAAGATCAAACATCGATTTCAATTGCGATTTAACACGGTCGGGATCAGCAGTTGGCTGATCTATCTTGTTTATGACAGGTATAATTGATAAGTTAGATTCAAAGGCAAGGTAAAAGTTAGCAACGGTTTGTGCTTGAACTCCTTGAGCTGCATCAACAACCAAAAGAACACCTTGACAAGCGGCTAGTGACCTAGACACTTCATAACTGAAATCCACATGTCCAGGAGTGTCGATCAGATTCAGCAAATAATTAGGTGATTCCTTTCCATCACTGCAATCAACACCATTTATCATGTTCTTATAGAACATTGTTGCTGTCTGAGCTTTCACCGTGATTCCCCTTTCTCTCTCCACCTAGAACAAAGTTCAAACTTCACCAATTAAGTAACTTATGACATAAAAGCCAAGAACGATGACAATATTGTCATGTTTGGTTCTATGTTGTTAATCTCAGACAGTGTTGTGTAGCACCGACCCCCTAAAATGCTACAGCATTATAGCAGATAGCAGGATTGCGGCTATTGCAAACACTAAAACCAGTGTTCAAACATAAATACTCAAAAATACCCTTAAAAGAAGACAAGGTTTGAATTTGAGGAATTTATCATTGAAATCCTAATAGGAGACACAGTAGAGGTTTGGGGCCGCAGTTAGTGGCTGCTACAACTACTACTGCTGATGACGGCTCACAACTAAAGCATGGTATTGAACATATGTTTGGATAAACAATTTAACTAAGCGTTTATAGCATAAGTGCCTACCATAAGTTTTTATGTATAAAATATTTCTGTAACAAAAGATAAATAAAGTCAAATTTAACTAAACATGGTATTGAACATATGTTTGGATAAACAATTTAACTAAGTGTTTAATGCAACATTTATCATAATTTTTCACTAATATACCATTATTCATTGAAATAAACTCAATTAACCATTTCCTTAAGAATCACAAACAATTCATACGTGAATAGAGGGTGTAACTAATAGAACAAACTTCTAACTAATCATAACTAACTAATAAACTACCTAATAATATCGCCTAATTTCTAATCAATGTCTAACTATATCCAACAGTTTTCATCGGCTATCCTATAAAGCTAACGAAAATACGCGTAAAATAGTTTTCATAAATGCCATAAGCTATTTGAATTTTCATAGGTTATGCCACATTTTGTCATAAATGTGCATGCCAATAAATAACCTCCAATAACCAATCCAAAACAAACCCTATAACCTACCTACCATTGATACTTTAAGATATGTTTGGATTGATGGACTATAACGGGACAGAGCGAAATGGAACATAATGGAATGGAACAGAGATTCCATTCAATTGTTTGTGTATTTTTTATAATTTAACTGAACCAAACAAATTAATTCATTCTATTGCATATACCCCAAACTTAGAGGAATGAAAATTGAAGGATTTGATGGAATAGGATTTCATCATATTTTTACGCTCCATCCATTATTCGCAAATCCAAATATTGGAATCTGGTTATATACCACTTCGTTCCATTTCGTTATATCACATACCACCAATTCAAACATACTCTTAAACCTCATGCTTCCGACACGTGTGAATGTACAGCACCAACTTGACAGCTGACACTAGCTCAAATAGTTTTCATACAATCACTCACAATTTTACAAATTAGTATTCAGTATCTACGTGTTAGTGTCGATGTTTGTGTTGGTGCTTCATGGAATATAACATAGCATGGGATAAAATTTTGATCTTTTTTCTCTTCAAAACCAACCCATTGTCGCATTCCAATCCTAGCTAACCCAAAACACAAACATGAAAAAGAAAAACAATTTTGAACAACACCCATTTCATATAACATCACAAACAGCCATACCCAGATGAAAAAATAGCCAATTTATAACAAAACCTGCAATTTATCAAGATACTGAGGCTGCCCAAGTCCTTTCTTAATAGTCCCCGTAAGTTCCAAAAGTCGGTCAGCAAGAGTAGATTTTCCATGATCCACATGCGCAATTATTGAGAAATTTCTCACAAGCTCTGGTGGGTACTGACTCAAATCTATAACAGCTTTCTCTTTGGTGCTATTTTGGCGTGATTGGGTACAGAAAAGTGCACGCGTTAAGGAATATCGTTGATGGGTTATTCTACTTGTTAATGGTGTCAAATTGAAATTGAAATTCAAATCGAATAGCAATGAAATGCAATTGGATTGGTTTATGGTTTTTGAAGCTTTTCTTAGATAACCCATTTCAGGGTTTTTGAGAGTTTGGGTTGATGGAACTGCGTTTTGTTGAATATTGATGAAAAGGTGAAAACTTGCCTCACTATGATACGATGTCGTTTTTGGTATGCATAACAAAGATATAGATTGGGCTGGATTTCCATGAGAAGGTGGGTTTATTTTAGAGGAATCACTATTTGCACACTTTGTTTACTCTTATTCTTCTTCTTTTTTTACCATCGTAAGGTTTTTGAATTCAAATGTTATAGTCCAAGCAAACAATATCATATTCATTTGTAATTTGTTACAAAAAAGGAAGATTAAGTGTACAATATTTCTTAGTACAAATAAATTTAAAATAAGATAAAAAGTAATCCTATCAAGCACGAAATATTGTTATGCAAATCCAAATAATTAAGCTACTTGCTTCATAATTAAGCTACTCATACTTAGTTGTTTTTATTTCCAGAAGCAAGAAACATACATGAGCCAACACATGAGCCGACACATGAGCTAATACGAAATATGGATGAACCAATACATGAGCCAATACATAAGCTCATGTGTCAGCTCATAAAACTTTTTTTAATCTTTTTTTTTTAATTTTATTTTTATATTTTCTTTATTCTTTTATTATTATTATTTTCATATAAAAAATTCAAAAAAAATATTTTATTTAAATATGTATGCATACACTTTTGTTTTACTTTTTTGTTCTAAACTAAAAAAAGATTAAAAAAAACATTTTTCTTATTAAAATTAATTTCTTTTCTTAAAATTAATTTAAAATTTAGACTTAGGTTTTATTTTAATTTGGTTTATTTTGATTAAATTGATTTAGACATTAGGATTTTAATTAATTTCTTTTCAAATTAATTAGAACTTTTTTTTCATAAAAAAACATAAAAAATTATTTCTCTTCTCTTTATATTTCTTTGTACATTTTATTAGTTCGCACTATAATTATATAATTGTCAAAGCTTTGTAATAGTAAATTAGGTTTATTTGCTTTCATCTTTCCATTTGTAAATTTCATATAAATGCTAGTAATTAGGATTTGTATGGGAAGATAAAATCAACAAGTAGATAACCCTAATCAAAGATTAAATGCATGCAAATCAAACACACTATTCACACAGGCACCCATTAGGGTAATCCCACTTGTTGCTTATCGAAAAAATAGTCATGTCCCTCGAACATGAGCGTTTTAGCAAAGACCCTCGATAAATGATCGTAGCCCCTCGATGGCCCTCAATGTTGTCTTCGGTAAACGATCTAGTTCCTAAACGACATTGCTAAAACATCTCATAGGTTGGTTTCTATGACTATACAAAAACGTCTCACGCTTGTCCCTTCACATCCAATGATGAGGCTTCTTACCAAAACAATGGTAAGATAGCAACATCTAAAGGGGAAGGAAAAGAACATCTAATATCTTTTGAGTAGGTAGATTCGCTCCTAGTTGCTCGCTTGCTCAAAACAAAAACATTTTATACACCAAACACTCTTTGAAACATTTTCAAAAGACAACACTTTGTACGCGTTCTTATAGAAACGAGAGTCATTACAAAGAAGATATCTTTTTCAAAATCTCTTTCAAAAACACATTCCACAAACACCTTTTAAAGCTATTTTCGAAACAACACTTTGTAAGCGTTCTTATAGAAACGAGAACCATTACAAAGACATTTTCAAAATACTTTAAAAATCCACACCACATTCAAACAAAAAGCAAGTGATCTAGCAAGCAACTAAGAGCCCATAGATAACTATGGATGAAAAGGGTGCTAACACCTTCCCTTTTCATAATCTACCCCCCGAACTCAAGAAATAATCTCAAAGGTCTTTCCTGTTCTTTTCAACCATTTCTTTTGGATAAAAGAAAAGTCAGTGGCGACTCTTGCTAACCGCAACAATTGCGATCAAACGCAAACATCCCAAATCAGTTCTCCTACCGCATTACACTCTTGAACAAACAGTTAAGGATCTGCAAGAACAAAATGCTCAATTCCAACAGATGTTCTTAGCTCTAGCTAAGGGACAAGAAGACCTGAAGACTCTGATTCTCAAAGACAAGAAAAAGAAGACAAAGAAACCAGTTTGTGTCCTGAATATGGGAAGGAGATTCAGAGGACCAGCAAATCGAGCTATAGACTTCGCAACTCCGTCAAACGAGGGAGACAATCAGGAACAAAAGCCAAAAGAAGAAGACAACAATTTGGGGTCTGAGGAAGATGAAGATGACTACTCTGGGGAGCAGTATCCTCCTGTTGATGACAAATACAAGCAGCTGGAGGATCGTCTCAATGCCATGGAAATTCAGAGGGTACCTGGTCTGGATTTTGAAGAGTTAGGGCTGGTTTTAGGGGTGGTTATCCCGCAGAAGTTTAAAGTTCCCGCATTTGCTAAATATGAAGGGGTTTCATGTCCTAAGTTGCATCTGAGGTCTTATGTCAGAAAGATCCAACCTCACACAGCTGACAACAATTTGGGGGTGCATTTCTTCCAGGAAAGCTTATCAGGGACCCAGTTGGAATGATTCTATCAGCTGGAGGGAACCAACATCCGCAACTGGGAGGATCTGGTCACTGCCTTCTACAGGCAGTACCAATATAATGCTGACCTTGCTCTAACCGGTACACAAATTCAAATCATGTCTATGGATTCCGGTGAGGGCTTCAAAGATTATGCCCAGAAGTGGAGAGATATTGCAGGAAGAGTCCAACCTCCTCTGTCTGATAGAGAGTTGGTAGACATGTTCTTGGGTACATTGTCTGGTCCATTTTTCAACCACTTGATTGGAAGTTCTTCAGCTGGGTTCACCGAGCTGATATTGACAGGTGAAAGATTAGAAGCCGGTATCAAGAGTGGTAAGATTCAAAGGGATGCATCTTCAAGTACAATGAAGAAACCCTTCACTTTAAAGAAAGAGGTCAGTGTTGCTTATGACCAGAGAAACCAGGGTAAGACTGAATGTCGTCCAACTGTGGGAGCGGTGTTAATTTCTAATCCTACACTTGTTCAACAACAACAGGGCAATAGGCGTAGGATATAGTTTCAATAAAGGTAGTACACTAAGATTAATATACCATTGTCTCAAGCATTACAATATTTTCTAAAAGCGGAACTGATTATACTAAGGGATCCTCCTCAAAACCTTGATACCTCTTCTCCTAAGTACAATCCGAATGCAAAATGCGCCTACCATTCTAATAGTCATGGGCACGACACCAACAGTTGTTGGTCTTTCAAAAATAAGATTCAAGATTTGATTGACAACAAGGAGATTGAATTTGACCCTCTTAAGGCTCCCAATATGATCACTGCTCCCATGCCGAATCATGGCCAAGATTGAGAGCGTTTATTTCATTTGAATTCTCAAATTGTAATTTCTTTTGATTGTTCGAACATTTATTTTTGTCAAAATTTGTTATTCCATTAATGCATTGCATATGTTTGTCTTGAATTAATCCATTCGTTTTCACTATACCGAAACTATGCTTTTACTTCCTTTTTGTGATATTCGACTCTCGATTACAAGTTATAAGCCTTTAGAGGGAGGATGACGAAAAAGATACCACAATCTCTACAGTATGCTTTTAAACAGACCTGGCTGACGATGTACATGCGTTCTTTCAAATCCTAAAACATTGGAGTTATAAGGAAGATAATCCCTAGTTAACCCCTTTGAGCCTAAGAAGTAGGAGTTTTCTTTTTGACACAAATTAAAACCCTTAATCATAACCTGTGGTATGGTAGTTTCTCAGTTAATTTAATGGTGCATTCAATCGCAAGCTTTCCCTTCGTACACGATGAGTAGTGTTGGAGGTATCCTTCTAAAACAAAAGATGGCGATGGTTCCACATAATCGTTAAAATAGGCAGTCATTATTTTTCAAAAGGAAAGCCCGCTAAGTCAAAACCTATGAAGGAGACTTAAGAAAAAAACTGGGGCAACCCGCTGACTGTAATCACAAAAGAAACAGTTCAGGAAAAAGGTATGGATAATAAAATAAAATAAAAAGGTCACTACAAATCTTCAACAAGAAGAAAAGGTTACAAAAATGACTGCCTCCTCAAAATAAACTTTCAGTATCCGAACCATCACTGGAATATCAGGGCCAAGGTTCCAGATTCAATTAGAATTTAAATGCATAATTAACTGAGTATAGGGCTGAAGAACATCACGAAGAACGGGTGGGTGCAAATAAATTTCGATTCTTTATACTTTGTTTCTTAAATCATGAACCATGCCACGTTACAACCCCTAAAAGTCCTAGATGAATCATGGGTTATTTCGAACGCATACTGTTACAAAAAGGTATCCTGACTCCTGTAAGGTTTACTATAAATCCTGAGTTAAATTCATATTCTTACAAAATTCAGTTTGTTTACTAAAAATGCATTTTCAAAACTTCAAGACAGACATAAGTTTTGCATTTTAAATGCCATTGTTTGCATATGACTAATTGTTCAACAATAGAGAAATTCGCACAACGAATATTCAATAAACGAAAATCCTCTCAATGAACAAAATCACCTCAGATGGAAAGACATTTCCAATAACAGGTCTTTCATTATCAAGGGTCATGACATGGTGTCCAACTGATCTGGGGGCAGTCGATTCAAGATTCAAGGAATTTCTCAAAAGTGTCGAATAGCCAGGGACAGATCTCCATCTGGGTCACTTGGGGAATTAGACATGACTTCCACCATAGGATCACGTACGATCGAGCAAACATTTACTACTATGGACATTGACGATTCTCCGCACCCGATGAACACGAACATAGTCGGAAAACACTACGCATGAAAAAGACCCGCTATGCTGACTGGCCTAGGAAAAAATAAGGGCATCCCGGCGAACCAAAAGATTTAGGGAAAAAATTAGGGACATATAAATAAAATTGTACACCCGGAAAGTCGAAAACCTGAAAAGGCGGCTTGGGAAAAAAAGGGTATTCCGGTGGACTGAAAATCTGAAAGGACAGTCCAGGCAAAAGTTAGGGATTAAAGTGTACGACTATATCCTGTCATCTCGTTACATGTCTATTAGTAGAAGACTTATCACCCTGATCAATAGTCACCAAGGGCTCTAGAAGTTGAGGTATGTTCAAGTCTCCACGGACCCCCACAGAGCCAATTCCATAAGATTATCTCCATAAAGTAATCTTCACGAAGTCATACATTCCCTGTAATTTCCCCGACAGATCGCTCTTGTGGATAAAGGAGTATGATCTTCTTCCTGTCAATATCACCAACCTACGGAGTTTCAATATTATAGTCCAAGGGAATTCCTCTCCTCAGCTGAGTTTTCAAAACTATAAAAGCCCCTGCAGACTACTTCTCTCCAACAGAGCTCATTCCTCTATCACCAGGTTTTATTTCCCCAATATGGTTTATTTCCCCAACATGATTCATCCCCCAACTTGAGTCTATTACTCAGATGACAATGAGTCACCGACAAAACTTCTCTTCCCTAGTGAAGTCATCACTATCCCCAGGGAGTTACTACAGAACCTAAAACCGGACCAAATGTCAGTCAACTTTATCCTCCCCAGGCGAGTCGGAAGGAATATTTATCTCTTTTATCCCCCGTCAGAGTATAAACTCCCCAGTAAAGCAATAAACAACCAACGTTCTTAAATTTTTCTCCCAAAGCAGGAATTAACACTCTCCAATAGAGTTTCCTCAAGCAAAAAGCAAGAAATCAATGTTCCCCAACGGAGTTTCCTCAAACAAGAAAGCAGAGTTCCCCAGCGGAAATAATCCCCAGAAGATTGAAGATATACATACTCTTCATCCCCAGCAACAATTAGGGATTTATTTTCCCCAGACTAAGATGCTGCTCAAATTTGCAAATACACTTCAATAACATCTCACATTCACCATCATTTACTAATATCATATCATATGCATACATATATCATAGTCTCATTTATTTTGAGAATGTCATTACACAATGCACTCCATACATCATGACATTGCACACAGCTAATCCTTTATCTTTTCAGGTAAAGTCTATAAACAGACAAATATCATCAACTATCTACATGACCAGACAAATTTCTTCAAAAACTAAATTCTAGAAAGTACTTCCCTTAAAGACTTTCCCCAGAAAGTCATTCTGAAAAATATCTCTTCTAGATGAAGTCAGACGTAGACATCTTCTAGTGCATCATTCAGACGAAATCAAGCGCGGATTCCTTCTGGTACCCTATTGAAGTAGTAGTCTTCCAAGATTCCTTCATTACATGTTGAAGTAGTAGTCGTCCAAGATTCCTTCATTACCTGTTGAAGTAGTAGTCGTCCAAAATTCCTTCATTACCTGTTGAAGTAGTAGTGATCATATTCCTTCATTACTTGTTGAAGTAGTAGTCGTCAAAGATTCCATCATTACCTGTTGAAGTAGTAGTCATCAGATTTCTTCATTATCTGTTGAAGTAGTAGTCGTCCAAGATTCCTTCATTACCTGTTGAAGTAGTAGTCGTAAGACTTCTTCATTACCTGTTGAAGTAGTAGCCGTCAGATTCCTTCATTACCTGTTGAAGTAGTAGTCGTCCAAGATTCCTTCATTACCTGTTGAAGTAGTAGTTGTAAGATTCCTTCATTACCTACTAAACTAGTAGTTGTCAAAGATTCCTTCATTACCTGTTGAAGTAGTAGTTGTCAAAGATTCCTTCATTGTCTGTTAAAGTAGTAGTCGTCAGATTCCTTTATTACCTGTTGAAGTAGTAGTCGTTAGATTCCTTCATTATCTGTTGAAGTAGTAGTCGTCAAAGATTCCTTCATTACCTGTTGAAGTATTAGTCGTCAGATTCCTTCATTATTTGTTGAAGTAGTAGTCGTCCAAGATTCCTTCATTCCCTATTGAAGTAGTACCTGTTGAAGTATTAGTCGTCAGATTCCTTCATTACCTATTGAAGTAGTAGTCGTCCAAGATTCCTTCATTACCTGTTGAAGTAGTAGTCGTAAGATTCCTTCATTACCTGCTGAAGTAGTAGTTGACAAAGATTCCTTTATTACCTGCTGAAGTAGTAGTTATCAAAGATTCCTTCATTTCCTGTTGAAGTAGTAGTCGTCAGATTCCTTCATTACCTGTTGAAGTAGTTGTCGCCAGATTCCTTCATTACCTGTTGAAGTAGTAGTCGTCAAAGATTCCTTCATTACCTGTGGAAGTAGTAGTCGTCAGATTTCTTCATTATCTGTTGAAGTAGTAGTCGTCCAAGATTCCTTCATTACCTGTTGAAGTAGTAGTCGTAAGACTCCTTCATTACCTGCTGAAGTAGTGCTTGTCAAAGATTCCTTCATTACCTGTCGAAGTAGTAGTCGTCAAAGATTCCTTCATTATCTGTCGAAGTAGTAGTCGCCAAAGATTCCTTCATTATATGTCGCAGTCAAGCTTTATACTTACCAGCAGTCACTTTGGATGGCATTTATAAGTTCATCTCCGACAACTCTCAGTCATCTTCTCCAAATGGCATATGTAAGTCCATTCCTGATATCATCAACCAACGACATTACTTTTTGCGAGTGCAAATTTCTGAGCACTCTAGTGTTCAATCATCTTCCACCTTCAGATCACGAAAGGCAGACAAGTCAATCTAAATCTCCAGGTTTAAGAAGATTGAACAAGGGCAGCTGTTGCACCCCAATTTGCTCTCCCATTTTATTCAAGGCATGCTCATTGAGGTCTTTAATTGCTCAAGGTTGACCAAAGAATCGATCAGACAAATTCACCACAAAATCTTCAATTTTCCAGCACCGAAGAACACCAAAGAGCAAGTAACAATCACCGAAACACCCAATTGAAGCCAAACAAACCGACACAAAGAGAATCGAAAACCAATCAACAGGGGTGTTGGTGTTTAACCAAGGTAACAAGATTTTGCAGGTTTGATCAAACCTTCTGATATCATATCAGTAAAATTGGTTTGATGTCTTTCTCTATTGCATTCTATACTATATATAATAGTATTAGTAAATATTCAGAATTACAAATTATAATGACAAATATTTTATTGTCTAATTTATCTAACCTATACATGAAAATAAATAATTTACAATATCTGATAAGATCAATTCCTAATTATCATCGACTAGGTGTAAACACATGGTGAAAAGAGACAAATGATTTCACCATTACAATAGGATTGCACAAAAGTTAACTATAAACCCTTATCTTTTTACTTTAATTTTGAATGTACTCATAGAACACATCCAAGAGCTAACACTAAGATGTATGATTTTTGCAGTCCTATTTAGAGAGATAAAGGAGGATTTAAATGAGAGATTGAAGACGGACCTTAAAAACTTATGGCTTCCACCTAAGTAGGAGTAATATCTAGAAAAACATAAAAGAAACTATAAAGAAAACTCTTGAATTTAACGAATTGAATAGAAATATGATCTTGAATAAAATACTATGACGAAATATGATTCATGCAATAATAAAACTTAATCGTTATTTTTGATGTAGGACGAAATGAAATAGAATAAAATTCTATTATTTGAATAGTTTAGAATCTGATAGAACATATTAAATTGGTATTTATTTCATCACTTCCTATCATTTTCTCTTTGCTCTGATATGGATAAAATGAGAAATTTATTATATCAAATTCTAAATATCTAAACAATAGAATAATATGGTTAGTCTAATTCTTTTTTTTATACTATGTTCATTCAAAATATCAAAACCATCATAAGCCACCTTGTCTTAATCTGCAAATTTGTTTGTTGAACTTACTAGTTTTCATAATTTTTCAGATTAACAGTAACTAAACTACAAACAAAGGAAAGAAAGGCCTTATGCTTTCAACTCAAAAGATCCTTTTAAGCCATCCAATTACCCGTGGGCTGAAAATACTTCCTAATGCCACTCCAGCAACAAGACCTCCTATATACCCAATTAGACTTATTTTCCACTCAATTTCAAAGAAAGAATCTGATTCATGGTCACCATCAGATGGAGAAAATGAAGGCCCTTCATGATCTAAGCATTTCTTCAACAACTGCTCCCCACACAAACCTTTGTTACCCTCAAATGAATCACCTTGGAATGTCGAAAACTGCTTATTCTGAGGTATAGGACCAGTGAGATTGTTGAAGGACACATTAAAGAACTCTAGAAAGGTGAGTTGTGTCAACTGTTGGGGAATCTTCCCTGAAAGACTGTTAAGAGAAAGATCCAATGCTTCAAGGTTTGAAAGCTTTGCTAAGGAATTTGGAATGCTTCCGATAAGGATGTTATTTGACAAGTTGAGCAAAACTAGACCCTTCAAGTCGCCTATGACTTTTGGTATCTCTCCACTGATTTTGTTGCTTGATATATCAATGGCTATCATGCTGTAAAACTCTTGAAGCTTCTCATAAACCATTACCTGTCCTTTGTTTGATAACGTGAACGAATAAGAATTATATACTGTCCAATATTCTCCCGAAAGGCGGGATCTCAAGTAAGCAAACCCTTGCTTGTACTGCAAGTCACTTGTGTTGGAAGTTTTCATTGCTTTCCAACTCTGAATCATTTCTGATGGAAAACTGCCAGAAAACTCATTGTGAGAAAGATCAATGATGTGAAGCTTGGGAAATGTGCATGTCATGTTCTCAGAACACCTTATGTCGCCATGAAACTGGTTTTCACTTAAAGCCAATACCTTCAACTCAGGTAAATCTCCCAGCCAAAACGGAAATGAATCGTTGATTTTGTTATGGCTAATATCAAAGTACTCTAGATATCTGCAATTTTCCAATCCTCTTGGCAGCTTACCTTGAAGATTGTTGTTGCTGAAATCAATCATATGAAGTGTATTTCCCATCGCGTATCTTTGAGGAATCGGGCCTGAAAATTTATTCCCTTTTAGCATAAGAACTTGTAGATATCGGCTAAAATTCCCTATACACGAGGGAACATCGCCACTTAAGTTGTTGAATGATAAATCAAGACGCACAAGTGATTTGAGATTGCATATGGATGAGTTTATTTCTCCTGTCAATAAACTATGAGAAATAGTTACACTTTGCAGACTTGGTTTTCTCCACAACCAATTCGGTAGCAATGTTATACTGTTGTTTGATAACATCAGACCTTCAAGATCACCGAGATCTCTTACAAATGTTGGAATCTCAACTAAATTGCATGAAGCCAAAATTAATACACGGATTCGAGAACCAGTTACATTGGAAGAGTTTTTTCCATTGGATATTGACAGTTTGTTGAATGATAAATCAAGGTAAAGTAGCTCTTTGAGCTTCAGAAACCACTCAAACTCTAGCTTTCCATGCAACACATTATTACTCAGGGAAAGACTTTCAAGTTTCTCAAGTCTGAAGAAAGAGTTGGGGATTTCACCATGAAGGCTATTATGTCCAAGGTTCAAATCAGCTAAATTTGTTAGATTCATTATCCATGATGGAATTTTACTTCTTAAATTGCTATTTTCTGCACCTAAATATTGTAGTTGGGTGAGATTTGCAAAAAATAATGGGCTGTCACTACCAATATCGATCAAGGATATATCCAAGCCGATTATTGATGAGAGCTTACTTATCCATGAGATTGTCTCGAAAGTAAATTCATTATAACCAACATACATGTTGCGTAGTTTGGTAAGATTTGCCAGAGACGCATAAGGGTCGCCCCAAAATTTGTTATACTGAAGGCTTATATGCTTAAGCTGCGCGAGGTTGCCAAGTGAAGAAGGAACATTCCCCGAAAAATGGCAACGTGGAATTGATAGCATATTTAGTGAACTAAGATTTCCAATGGATATTGGCAGTGTTCCATAGAAACCTGTCTCGCCAAGTTGCAGCATGATGAGTGAACTAGACTGAAACTCAGGCAACTTACCATTGAGATTTTGATTATTTCTCAAATCTAGATATTTCAAGTTTGGAAGATGAAATACTCCAACGGGAAATTCGCCATACAATTCAGAATTGTAAACAGATAGTGCTTGCAACGAAGTTCTATTTGTGAGTGTGTCAGGTAAAGTAGATGAAATTGTCACATAATCAAGTAGAAGAGACTCAAGTTTTGTTGAGTTATGAATTATGCTTTTGAGAGTAGAAAACTTGAGTTGCAAGAAATTAACCGCAAAACCTCCGGGACTTGTTCTTAAATTGTAGCCTAGATCAAGAGACAGTAACTTGGACAAGTATGAAAGTTGAGGTGGAATTTCTCCAAAAAAAGTTGTATGAGATAGGTTTAGATACCTTAGTTGCGTAAGCTCGCCTATCCGGTGAGGGATTTGAGAGTAATTGAAGTCATTATCTGAAAGATCGAGATTTTGAAGGTGTACAAGGCGAAAGAGAGTGGTATTTGCATCCATTGTACCATAGAGTTGGCTGCTTCTAAGATTAATGTGAATCACATGATCTGTGTGTTCATCACATATAATGCCTTCCCATGAGCAGCAATCTGTGTTCGCATTCCAAGAGGCTGTTTTGGGATAACTTAGGGGATTTGTAGAGGCAAAGTTATTGATGATAAAGCCTTCCTTGAATTGCAACAGGGCATGGCTTTCATATTGACGACACTTTGGGTGAGTTAAAGAAAAAGATGTAGTAAATGTGAAAGACAAGAGTGAATAAAGAAAAAGAAATTGTAATAATAACACAAGAGACCATACAAACACCATTGTAAGCTGAAACATTCAGATAAAATGTTAAGCACACAAGTGGTTCTTATAGTCAGGATTTTTACTGCATTTATATACCACACGGCATTGACATTTCTATACCACATGTTGGACTTGTGGTTAGGTACACTTTCAAATCTCATTAATTATCTGATTAAGACTGCAGAGTTTAGCATGATTACAATTGAGGATTAAAATTGAAGTATGCAAATTAGTCTAACCATGTAAGTTTGGTTGGGGAATTTAGAGCTTATCATATTCATGGAGCCACTATCAAATTGAAAATTAGCCTAACTATTTATTTATTTTTTGGAAAAAAAATAGTTTAAGATTTATGCACGTAAATTTTTTTATAGTAAAATATTAATTAAAAACAATATTAAAACAATGTAGGAGTGTAAAAATAAAAATAGACAATTCAAAAAACTAATGAGACAAACATAAATATATAAATATATAAATTAGCATTCAATTATTTATGATTCATTTCAAAATAGAATAAATTAACATAACAACAAAAAAAATTTAATCAATTCAACAAAAAAGATTAGATTAACAATTTTTTTCTCCTACGTATTTGATTAAATATTTAAGAAAATTGATAAATTGATTTTAACTTATATGATAAAAAAGACAATTTTTTAAATATTTAGATTTGACACGCAAAGCCACCACATCATTGTTTTTTATTTTTTATTATTGAAATAGATAGACGAGAAGAGATAAGTAATAGTTGTAAAATCAAAATTATATTCATGCTAAAAATAAAAGGTTAAGAATTATTTTGTTCTTGGCATATAAGTGAGTTTCGGAAAATTCTTTTGTTTAGATTCGATCTCCAATATTTTAAGATTTCATTTTGATATGATCATCAAATTTTTTCTTCTCTTCTTTTTCCTTTTTTGATTTTTATGTGCTTGCAGAATAATTATTGCGATCCAGTCACCAAAATCTTTGACATTTTTGTAAATCTTTATTGTGTTTAAATATCAAGACAAAAATTACTAACTTTTGGTCATGTTAAGTGTTAAACCCAGGACATTTTGTTCTCCAAGTAAGTGACTCACCACTTAACTATGCATGTAAGTTTGTATACTATTTGCAGAATATATATATATATATATATATATATATATATATATATATATATATATATATATATATATATATATATATATATATATATATATATATATATATATATATATATATATATATATATATATATATATATATATATATATATATATATATATATATATATATATATATATATATATATATATATATATATATATATATATATATATATATATATATATATATATATATATATATATATATATATATATATATATATATATATATATATATATATATATATATATATATATATATATATATATATATATATATATATATATAATAAAAAATATAAAAAATATTAATACATAATAATTTATGTATTATTAATACATAATAATTTATGTATTATAATATTATAGTATTGATTTATTGTTGTTTTTAAATAGTATTAACTTCTAAATAGATTTTTACAAAATAATATATTTAGTAAAACAATATATTTATAAATTTATAAAAACTACACTACATAAAATATTTTTAAATTATATTCAAATAAATTAATTTATAAAAAAATATATTGTAACGTTATAATGCATAAAGAAATTCTATTTTAATTGATAGTGTTTTTCAAATAATAATTTACATATACGTTACGTTAAATATGAATAATACTATAGTAATTATACGTTAATATTATAGTATTATTTATAGTATTAATACTATTTTCTGATATTTATAGTATTTTCTACAATTTAGTAACTATTTTCTGCAATTTATAGTGAAATTATTTATATTATTTATTAATTAATATATTTTATTAATAATTATTAATTTATTTCAATTTAGTAAAATAATACATGATAAACTAATCCTATAATATTAACGTATTGATATTTTCTGTGTGTATTATGTATCGAATTATTATAGTATTTTCTGCAATTTAGTAACTATTTTCTCTATATAATATTTTCTGCATAGATTTTCTCTAAATTAATATTATTTACTAAATAAATTTATTATAGTATTAATTTATAAATATATTGTTTTTATAAATTAAAATAATTATTAACATAATAATTTATATAAAATGTTGTTTTTAAAAATAATAATTTTTATAATTGTTGTTTTTAAAATTACTAATTTACATATATTGTTATTTTAAAAATAATTAAAATATTACAGTATTATAACGTTTAAACATTACAATTATATATATATATATATATATATATATATATATATATATATATATATATATATATATATATATTATATATATATATAATATATATATATATATATATATATATATATATATATATATATATATATATATATATATATATATATATATATATATATATATATATATATATATATATATATATATATATATATATATATATATATATATATATATATATATATATATATATATATATATATATATATATATATATATATATATATATATATATATATATATATATATATATATATATATATATTTGTTAGGACTATTTTTTGGAGCTTTAAATTTTAACTACTAACACCAAAATGATAATAAAAAATATTACCTGAAATAAAAAAATAAAAAAATAAAAAATAAAGAAAAGATGAAAATGAGTAAAAAATGTAACAGTATATAGTAAAAAAAATTAAATCCAATTAAATGAACCATAATTCAACCTATTTGATCGTACCTTACTAAAAAGGATTGTCAAAATTCATAAGCTTTGTGTCGAGCAGCGGTTGGATGTGAAGTGTGGGAGGGAGTACCTGCAAGATACTCCGATGTCAAAGTAAGGTTCAGAGCAATGCGAGCAAGTATGAGAGTGAGAATGAAAGATTGAATACCTGGCTCTCTCAAGTGAGAGGGTATTTATAGTCCCAACGCTGGGCCAAGATCTCCATCATTGGATTGGGTAAGCAGGCCCAAGATGGAGACTGTCAGGTCCTACATGCGTAGTGGGGGCCAACATGTGGTCCCCTACCTGGACGAACTCCTTCGAACTATCAGGAGGATATGGATGCGGTCGTTTCGGGACCAAGAGGACTCAGTGATATTCAGAGGTGTTGAGAGTCAACCCTACGAGGAAGATGCTCGCGAGGTCCTTCTGTCCGTCGTGGATCCTCCCCGCTAGCTGTGAGGTCGCCCCTGAAGGACTTGTCTTGGTCGGCGAAAAGAGTGGAGGATGCTCGCGAGGTCCTTCTGACCGTCTTCGAACCTCCTCACCATTCATGGGTTTATCCATGTAGGACAAAACCATGTCGACCAAAATAGTGAGGTTACTACCTGACACAGTCAAGGGCAGACTCTGTTAGCAGGCTTTCTCATGCAGCATAGTTGGATTGAGCCTTGTATGATGTTTGGGCCAAGCGCAAGCCCAGTCCAGAACAGGAGCCCTCCAAGTCGTTACTCTTGATGAAGGAGTTATAACTTAAGTCCAACTTCTCTTTACGGCGAGCACAACTCAGGCAGGGGTCTTTTACTGCGTCTAAGGAGAGGGTCATCTGTGTGCGTGGTTACCCAAGCAGGGGTTGGAATTGGTTTCATGGGGAACACTTTAGTTGTTCCCCGACTCGCGGGGAGAGGAAAGCTCGCAGGATGCAGCCACGTAGCGTGGCCTTTGGGATAGTAATGGTGGTCTAGGGAGTAGGGGTCATTATGACCTGAGCGCGTAGGCAGCGAGGAGAAGGGCGGTTGGTGCGCTGTCCGACGTGACACTTCATATTCCACGTCAACCCTATAAATAGTGTCTTAGGGTCCATTTGCCATATTTTAACCTTTTGTTTTCTCCACTCTCTCTTTCTCCTACACTGCTTGCCATCTTTCCCAACCGTTAAGGTCGTCGCAAGATCCACTGCGAATTTTCCACCTACTTTGATTAACTAAGTGTTTTCTAATACTGATTGTTGTTTATAATTGACTTTTTGATGAATCTTTGATGAATTTCGCTACCCCAGGGATTTTTACTTGGGTGTTCATACATTCCTTTGTAATATTTGCAAGTGGGTCCGCGAAATTCATCTGCTCCCTGTAAAAATCGTGAATTTTCCCGTGATATTCACCTGCTCCCCGCGGAATTCGTGAATTTTCCTGTGATATTCACTTGCTCTCTACGGAATTCGTGAATTTACCCGTGATATTCATCTGCTCCCCGCAAAATTTGTGAATTTTGCCCGTGAAACTTATCTGCTCCACAGAGAATTCACTAATTTGTCTGGAAAATTCATATATTCCCTGCGACATTCATGAATATGCTCGTGAGATTTATCCCGTACCAGCGATGCTCATGAATATTCGTTTTGTCTTTGTCACCGTCGTGCGATCGTATGAGGCATGTATTAGCTCCCCGTGTTGCTCATGAGTCATGTCTGTTTGTCACTGCACGAGGGATTGTCGACCTGGTTTGAGCATAACTATCCCCTTTCACCCGTGTTACGGTGGAAGGGTGAATTCGATTTAACTGCCGAATTCACTGGTTTCCTCTACTTTACAGGTGAAATGGCCGAAACCCCCGAGTCATCCGAGCACATTGAGGTCGAAGAGACAAGCACAACCGACAATATTATCCATTTGGTCGACACGATCGATGACCCGTTGTAATACGGTGACAAAACCGACTATTATACTGGTTTTGCGTTTGTATTCGTAAATGTTGCGGTAAGTAAGAGTCGCCACCGATTTTTCTTTTATCCAACAAAGGAAAGGATGAAAAGAACAGAAAAAGACTTTTCGAGATTATTTCTTAGATTCTAGCTCATTTGAAAATACCTTGTGTTTGTGTGTTTAAAAAAAGTATTTTGAAAAGACGCCTTAGTGCGGCGAACTTTGTAATATTTCTTCTATCATTGAGAACGTATTCAAAGTGTTTTGAAAATGTTTTGAAAATGTTTTTGGAAAGAGTTTT